TCCAGCCCTTGTTGGAACTGAAGCAGTGGCCGGAGGAGAGAGCTGACAGGGCCGGAGCTGTCCCCTCCGTCCCCAGAACCCTGGACAGGTCTCAGGCCACTCTGCACCTCAGTTGGCCGGGGTGGAGCACAGCCCCCCTAGGTGAGGTCCATGTGGTGATGCCCAGGGCAAGCACTGAGGATGGGGAACACTTATTGCACATCAACTGACAGGATAAGGCTGTTCTACATGCCGCGTGGGGGCAGCTGGCTCGTCCCAGCCCGCTGCCTTGCTGTGTGTCCCAGGTCTGGGGTGGGGGTGGGCCCAATCCACCTTGCTGAGCCCTGTCCCCCGCCTCTCCCACCCTGCCACCGTCTTGATCTTAGCATCTGTCTGGAGGAGGTGACCCCTCTCCCAGGCTGTCCTCTGAGCTGTGCGGTTGGGACAGACACCCAAGGGGGCTGGGATGGTGTGTCCACACATCCTCACGCTGTCCTCTCTCCTCCCCCACAGGCACTGCTGCCGGTCAGCCTTGAACTTGGTGTTGGGTTGGGAGCCATTTCCCCTCCCAGTCCCTTGGACGGCACCAGGACCAAGCCAGAGTCGGTCTCCTGCCCCCTCCATCCCTCCACCTCTGACCTCATTCTTCTTGTCCCCCGCAGCCTGTCTCCTGAGAACCCCTCCCTTTTACACATATCCCCTTTTCCGGGAGAGGGAACACCTCCTTTCTCCCACTGCTCCTCACTTCCTGCATGGCATCCTAGGAAATGTCACCCTGGTCTCTCCAGCTCTCCCTGACTGCACTGTCCTGTGGGTCTCCTTTGCCTTCTAGAACACTCCGCACCACTTGCACCTCACTATACACTGCCCCACTGTGACTTTCCAGGTCGTCCACAGTCATCTCCCGTATCAGCACCACCACCCGCTGAGGCCAGCTTTTGTGAGGACTCCCCCATAATCCCTGGTTAGGGTCTAGAAACTCCTTGACAGACCCCTTTATTGATCCCCCACCCCTCGGCCTCTGCCTCGCCCCTTGGCCCCCCTTGCCGTTCCCCTGAGCCTCCGAGGAGGGGGCTTGGGGGGTGTGCTCCGATGGCCTCCCGCCCCCCGTGGCCCTGCAGCCCCTGTGGGTCAGGGGGGACGCCTGGAAAGCCGCGCCCGGGATGGGCAACCGCACGTGGGACGGCTGCCACGTGGACTCGCGCGTGGACCACCTCTTTCCCCCGTCCCTCTACATCTTTGTCATCGGCGTGGGGCTGCCCACCAACTGCCTGGCACTGTGGGCGGCCTACCGCCAGGTGCGCCAACGCAACGAGCTGGGCGTCTATCTGATGAACCTGAGCGTCGCCGACCTCCTCTACATCTGCACACTGCCGCTCTGGGTCGACTACTTCCTGCACCACGACAACTGGATCCACGGCCCCAGCTCCTGCAAGCTCTTCGGCTTCGTCTTCTACACCAACATCTATATCAGCATCGCTTTCCTTTGCTGCATCTCCGTGGACCGCTACCTGGCCGTGGCCCACCCGCTGCGCTTTGCGCGCCTGCGCCGCGTTAAGACAGCCGTGGCCGTGAGCTCCGTGGTCTGGGCCACAGAGCTGGGCGCCAACTCGGCGCCCCTGTTCCATGACGAGCTCTTCCGCGACCGCTACAACCACACCTTCTGCTTCGAGAAGTTCCCTATGGAAGGCTGGGTGGCCTGGATGAATCTCTACCGCGTCTTCGCCGGCTTCCTCTTCCCGTGGGCGCTCATGCTGCTCTCCTACCGCGGCATCCTGCGGGCCGTGCGGGCCAGCGTGTCCACCGAGCGCCGGGAGAAGGTCCGGATCAAGCGGCTGGCGCTGGGCCTCATCGCCATCGTGCTGGTCTGCTTTGCGCCCTACCACGTCCTCCTGCTCTTGCGCAGCGCTGTCTACCTGGGCCGCCCCTGGGACTGTGGCTTCGAGGAGCGCGTCTTCGCCGCCTATCACAGCTCGCTGGCTTTCACCAGCCTCAACTGTGTCGCTGACCCCATCCTCTACTGCCTGGTCAACGAGGGTGCCCGAGGCGACGTGGCCCAGGCGCTACACGACCTGTTGCGATTCCTGGCCAGTGACAAGCCCCAGGAGATGGCCACGGCTTCTCTCACCCTGGAGACCCCACTCACCTCCAAGAGGAAGGGCAGCGCGGCAGGAGCAGCGGCGGCTGGCTGGGTTGCCACACCACCCACCCCCGGGGAGCAGGTGCAGCTGAAGATGCTAGCGCCACCGCTGCTGCCCAAGTGAACTGCACCTGGGGCAAATCAGCCTCCCTTACTCCACCACCAACACCATCACCCCTGACCCTCCCTGCCTGCTGATGCAAATTGTATGTAAATAAGACGGTGTGCATATTCATAAGAACGCAAGGAGAACGGGTTGGTATGCTACTGGTCAACTGGCTTCTTCCACCAAGGCCAGCCCACAGCCCTGGGCCTGTCCCACAGGAGCTGCAGGGCCCCGGTTAGGGTCTGGGTGGGAGTGGTGGTGGTGGTGGGTTCCCCGGAAGAGGCTAACAGGAAATTGACCCAAACACCAAAGTCCATGTGATTGCCAGGAGATAAAGACCAAGGGAGGACAAAGTCCCCACAAGGGGCCGCAAATCTGTGCCGTCCAGGGAGAGGGGGCTGCAGAGCGCTGAAGGCGGTCGTCCCAGGGAGAAGCCAGACTTGGTTGTCTGGCAGCAGCTCCAATCCATGTTGCAGCTCGAGACAGCCCAGGCTGCGCCCCTGCTTACGTGGGAAAGCACCGCCCCCCTTCCCTGGCCCCTGAGCAGTGACGGTTGCCTGTCGGTTGATTACAGAGACCAGCGGGTGACTGCCGAGTTGTGGTGTGTGTCAAGCTCTGCTGCCCTCTCTTTGGGAGGGACCAGGATGAAAGGAGGGGAGCCTGGGTTTAGATAATCCAGGCAGACTGCCTGGAGGAGGGGTGAGCAGGGCAGCCCCCACTCCCCCCACTGAAGGAAACAAAACCAAGTGGATTGACAATTCCATGAAGGGCAAGGGTGGTGCTGGGGACCCTGGGTGCTGGGCCTGCCCTCTGTGGCTCAGGATGGGCGAGTAAAAGAAATAAATAAATAGATGTTTGGAATTGTTCAATGTTAAGGGGAGTGGTAAACCAGTTGAGGGGGACACAAAGTGACCTGGAGGAATGAGGAGGACTCTGGGGAGGTGAGACCTGAAGGTGGAGGGAGGTCAGCAGAGGGAACAGGCATGGGGGAGAGTCAGCTCTGAGAAAAATGGGAGGCCCAGAACAGAAACGATGTGACCTACATATGGACGGATCCTGCGGGCTGCCACCTGGGGAGTCGATGAGGGGAGGCGAGGGCAGAAGCTGGAAGCCCAATGAGCAGCAAGTTCAACTTCACTTGCACAGATCCTGGCTGGGGCCCAGGGGTGGGGTGGAATGGGGCAAGAAGCAGCTACAACCTCCCACATCCCAGGATAGGTTTCTCAGGAAGGCCTTCTGGTATGGACGGAGCCCGTGGGCCTAGGGCAAGGCCGTGACTCCAGGCCCCTGAGCGGGGCTGGCCACTGGGCTGGCCTGTGAGTCAGCACCGCAGCTGGCCCGGCCTGCTTCTCCTCTCTCCAGCTCTGCCTCAGTTCCCACGCCCCTGGGGATGGCCCGGGATCCCTTCCCCTGGCCTGTTGGGGCAGGGGGATCACCAGCAATGGCCCCGATGATGTCAGTCCCTTGGGCTGGCTCGACGGCAGCAGGAGTTTCAGCTCCGGTCAGGTCTCCTGCCACAACTCTCCCCTCCTATAAGGGCAGGTACTCAAGGATGGCTCCCCCTGGGCGGGGAGGATGCCCAGACTATGCACACCCTGACTGCACAAGAGTCCCTCTCAGTGGATGGAAAAACCCACACTCGGAAGAGAAGGGGGGGGGACGGGCAAGGGCGTGAGGAAGCAGCGAGATGCAGGAAGCCAGAGCTTTGGTGCCTGGCGGGGACGGGGTGGGGGGAGGAGAGGGGCAGTCAGAGAAGAGAGGGAGGCAGAGACCTGGGAGGCTTCCCACCAGGCCCCAAAGCGACCAGGATGCAGATGCAAGGGGCTAAGGTGCAGTGGACACAGCCCCTGTGGAGGACCAGGCATTACCCCCACCACATGCACCTTCCCATTCATTCAATAGCAGTCGGTGCCAGGCTCTGTTCTAGGCTCCAAGGAAACCACACTTTGGGCTCATGCCCTGGGTCACCTCATTAGGTCTTCGATCCCTAGGCTTATGTAGTACCCCCCCCCCCCAATCAGGGCTCAACAGACAACCCAGCACCACAGGAGGCAGGTTCCCCAGTGCCAGGGACCTGGGCAAAGGATCCACAGGGGGTGCAGTGCATGGATGCCAAGGAAGGCGTGGGGTCCCCCGCCTCCAACACGGGGAGATGTGCCTTTGTTCCTCCTGCACCCGGCCCAGCTCTCCGCCTGCCTGTCCCTCAGCTCTCAACCCCTCGCTGACCCTGTTTACAAGATCTTGCTCCCTGCTGGGCCACTCTGGTCCATGTTCTTCAGCTCCATCCTGGGCCAGCTCCCTGGGGACCCTCACTACCTCCCCATACACCCCGCAGTGGAGGAAGCTGGATTTGGGGTTGGAGGACGGTCGGGTTTTATAGGTCCCAAGGCTGCTTCATGCAGTTCTGCAGACCCCAGAAGCCTGTGCCCGCTCGCAGCCCCTATCCGGCCTGCATGACCCGGGAAAGGGCAGGATGAAGCGGAACCCTGGTCCAGGGCCCCAACACCTGCCAGTTCCCAGGGAACCTTCTCCCTAACACCTAATTAGGACAAACGCAGCGCGCTTCCTGGGGCGTGACGTCACGCCGCGGTGACGTCACGCCGGAGCGGCCGTTGAACGGCACCTCCCACCCACCCTCTTCAACGAGCGGACGTCGTCGACGCAGCGACGGCGTCAGGGCACGCTCACGCCCCCTCGGGCGTGCTGACGCACGGACGCAGGCACGCACGGCCGCGCGAGCGGGCGGGGGAGCAGCGGCGCCCCGCCCACAGTCAGCCGGGCTGCGCGTGCCCAGTGCGGCCGCCAAGATGGTGGTGGGCGCGTTCCCCATGGCGAAGCTGCTCTACCTGGGCATCCGGCAGGTCAGCAAGCCGCTGGCCAACCGCATTAAGGAGGCCGCCCGCCGCAGCGAGTTCTTCAAGACCTACATCTGCCTCCCTCCGGCTCAGCGTGAGTCCGACCCCACGTCCCTTCTCCGACCCCTCGCAGGTGGTTGCCGAGGGGACGGACATGTGTCCACGACCAATTACAGCCCGCACCGGCAAAAATCTTGGGTAGCCAATAGGGAGGGCTGCTGGCAGAGGGGCATGCGGGTCAGCCAATAGTGAGGGCAGGCGTGTGGTGAGGGGGCGGAGCGAGGCGCCGCGGCGGGAGTTGGAGTCCTTAGCCTATAGAAGAGAGCTCCTGGAGGATTGACGTCGGCGCGAGCCAATAGTGTGGGAGATAGAAGTAATTTGGGTGGGGCTTACCGGGCTAAATGGCTCAATGGACTAGGGGCGGAACTGAGGAGGGACCGGTCAGTCTTTGCCAAGGCGTCCTTGGGCAGTTCCGGGGTGGAAGCTCTGCTTCCCTCCTACCCGGGGAGGTGAGAAGGGCGTCTATGGCACCCACTTGGAACCTTGATGTTGGGCGAGGGACACGGGTGAAGGCGCGAGGCTGGTGGGTGACGTTTGAGATCCAGGCCCGTGTCCCGGAGGGTCTCGGCCAAAGGGAATTAGAACCGGGCTGTATGTTCTTCGTGTCTTCCATAGGCCATGCGTGCACTCCCCACTCATCCCCACACCGGCAGAAACCCTCCTGACTGTGCCAAATCACAGTGGTCAGGATGGTGGGAGCTCCCCCAGGTCAAAGGTGCTGGGGGTCCCGGGGTCAGGAAGACCAAAACAAAACGACACCAAGGAGAGTGAGCAGCTTTGGAAAAAGGTGGTGCACACTGCAGCCTCAAAGAAGGGGAACCCCTCCTCTGACCCTGACCCTGCATGGCCGTGCCATGGGGTTCTAGGCAGAGGGAGACTTCCCACTGGGACCCCGAGGGGCCGGGATGGACCCCCGGGCCTGGTCAGCTCCCGGTCCATCTTGGCCTGCCCTTGCTGGGCCCCGTCCTCGCGTGACAGTTTAGACTTGGAGTTGTGGCCTCTTCCCTGCCAGTCCAGCCATGTTGGGCGCCCCTCGAGCCCTGCCAGCCTCTGCTTCCTCCTGGTTTGTGCCAGGCTGGGTGCTCTCTAAGCACTGCTCTGCCAGCAGGTCTCCCGGAGGACACTGCAAGTTCTGGGACCGTGCACGTTTTTGCGGCCAGTTGTACTTGGGTGGGTGGATGGGTAGGATGGATGCCCCGGAGGGACTTCAAGAGCCTTCTGTCTTGGTGGTGACGGGGAATCAGACGCTCAACAGCAGAGCAGGTAGCACACCAGCTTCTCCCTGTTGGCCAGCTGTGGCTCACCAGGGCTGCCAGGGGCTTGCACCCCCACCCCGTGACACACACCAGGAAGCGGTGATGTCATGTTCGTTATCAATCATCCACTACCTGTGGAGAAGTAAACACGGGAAGATAAGAGAGGAGGGGGACGCTTAGGCGGGCTGGACCGCGAGTGATTGCCGGAGGTGGCTTGGCCTTCGCCCATCTGGACCAGATGGAAAATTCTAGTTTCTTCCTCCACTGACACTTGGCACTGTCCCCAACATACAGAATTCCAGGGAGGATGTTCCTGGTCCCTGGGTAGCCTCGGAGGATCTCAGAGAAAGTTCATGGAGACATGCCCAGTCCCTCGTCAACCCCCATGCCCCACAGTATGTCTGCCATTGGGCCCTCTAGTTTGAGGTCACGGCCACGTGACATGAAGGGGACGCTGTTTCCTGAACCCCCTGCCCCCACAGTCTGGACTCCTGACCCTCTAGCCCTTTGTACTGTTCGGGACGCTGCCCCTGGCCCCTGGGCTTTGAGCCCTTCCTATTGTTGGAGTCACTGTGGACGGTTCACCCACTGCTGGGTGGCTGAGGATGTCTCCCCGGGGGGGGGGTCCCCATGTTTACCTGTGGTGGCACCTGGGACCTCTTGCTAATGCTGAGACCCTGGCGAGGAGCTCTGACCTTGTTCTTGGCAGTGGGTGGCCAGCACCTGCCTCTTGGAGCCAGGGTGGGCTGGGCCGGTGTGGCCAGGGCCTGGCTGGGGGTCACATGGGGCTGGGTCAGTTTCCTTCGGCCACACAACAGTTGCGTCCACAGTCGAGACCCTCCTCCGAGCTTGTGGAGCTGTGACAGGGCCGCTGTGGTGACCGGATCCGCAAGAACTGACCCTTTCTCCCAGTTACTTGGAGAGATTTCCATGAAGGCACAGGCAGAAGTCACAGGCCAGAGGCCAGCTGACCAGGGACTGCTCCACTTCCTTGTCCCTTTTCTGTGGTCAGAGCCACCTCCTGGACACTCCAAAGATGGGGACATTGTACGAGGGCAGCACTCAGAAGACCAGAGGCTGTGCCTCAGCCTACATGGAGCAGGTAGTCTTGGGTCTGGGTTTGGGACTGCCCTGACCACTGTAGGCTTTGTTTGACAGCAGTAAAACTGGCCTCCCCCTGGGCAGTGCCCAGTGAGCCATGGGCCCACTGCCCCCGTGGCAGCACAGCACAACCGGGCATTAGTGTTGGAAAGCATAAATACATCGAACCCCCGCTCTGCGTGTGCACCTCACATTCCACTCCCGGCTTCGTGGGTGGGGGACAGTGTAGTAGCCTAAAGGCTAAAGTCCTCGCCTTGCTCCTGCCGGGATCCTATATGGGCGCCGGTTCTAATCCCAGCGGATCCACTTCCCATCCAGCTCCCTGTCTGTGGCCTGGGAAAACAGTCGAGGCTGGCCCAAAGCCTTGGGACCCTGCACCCACATGGGAGACCTGGGGAAGCTCCTGGCTCTTGGCTTTGGATTGGCTCAGCACCGGCTGTTGCTCTCACTTGGGGAGTGAATTATTGGACGGAAGATCTTCCTCTCTGTCTCTCCCCCTCTCTGTATATCTGCCTTTCCAATCAAAATAAATAAATCTTTTTAAAAAAAAATCACTGGAAGGTGGAGAAAGAGCCCAGTATCTGTTTTAGAAACAGCCGAAGCCATAACTGACAGAGTAGCAGAGGGGTGAAGGGAAGCCCTGCTGCCATGCGGATGGCTAGGGGTGAACCCGGTGGGCCCGCGAGCTCTGGGGGCTCCTGAGGTGACAACCAGGTCCCTGCCACCTTGGCCGGGGCCAGCGGTCTTCGGGGAGGGACTCACGTGCCCTGCTGCTGTCAGTCACTGCCCCCGAGTCTATTTATAACTGGAGTGGCCCGTGAGCATGCTGTGTGACAGTCGGTCTCCAGCTTTAGGGTTTATTATGTCCCTATCAGGACCCGGCTGTGTGTGTGTGTGTGTGTGTGTGTGTGCATGAGTGCTGGTATTTAGCAGTCATGGATAGCGTATTATGCGCAGGGTGTACGTAGTGTGAGCATTTAAGCGCATATAGGGGGTGGGCATTTGGATTCTCCTGAGCTGCCTGCTCATGCACTTGGGACCCAGCCTTCCCTGTGCCTGATCCAGGTTGAATTCCTGGCTCCTGGCTTTGTTGTAACTCAGCGCTCCCGCCGACCATTGTGGGCATTTGAGGAGTCTCATAAAGAAGCCCCCAACGTGAGGCAGCCTGATTTGCAGCTTTAAGACGGTATTAACACTCCCAGAGCCCACAGCTACAAGCAATTCACCAAACGGACAGAAGGCACTAGAGTCGACGCTTTTGCAGCTGAGTTCGCCCCACGCCTCACCCAGCTGTCAGTTTGTGTTCCTCTGTGAGTGTCTGAACACGCAGCCAATAAATCTTAGACCCTAAAAGGGCGTTTGTTTGGGGCTTTGTCAGCTTTGTGATCGGCGGCTCCCAGTTGTAGTGTCTCAGCCGTCCCTGTGTCCCAGCAGTTGGGGCCGGCAGGGGGCGCTGTGACCTTGTAGGCGGGGACTGCAAAAAGGTTGCAGGGGAAGAGTTAAGTAGTGAAGCCACAGGGCAGTGGGTTTAAGCCAGCAATCCGGGGCAGGCGCCCTGCTCACCCTCGATGGCGGGGGCAGGTGGGGTGTAGGGGTCAGCCCCTCATCTCTGGTGGAGCCCAGGAGGACGGAGCTAATGGACACTCACAGCACTACTAAGGTGGCAGAGCCCATCTCTGCCTGTATTGATCTGTCCTGACCCGGCCACACCCCCCAAGGGACTCTTACAGTGCTGGGCGGTGCCATCCCAGGCCCAGCCCCTGGCGGTACACAGGGTCACCCGCCTTGGACACCTTCAGGTCCTGCCAGCCCTAAAGGAGCCCCTTAGTGCCTGCACGCCTGGGACTGTGAGCCTCCGTCCCCAACCCCCATCCCCGCCTCCCCCACCCGCGTGCTAAGAAAGGCAGAGTTGCAGAGAGGTGGGGAGAGAAGTTGGCCATCTGCTGGTTCCTCCCCAAATGGCTGCATTGGCCAAGGCTGGTCCAGGAGTCTGAAACCCCATCTGGTCTTCCACATGGACCGCACAGATCCAAGCCCCCAGGAGCCCAGGTTCCTTAGCAGGGAGCTGGATGGGAAGCGCAGTGCCTGGGGATTTCACAGTGCTGCTATGGGATGCTGGTGCAGCAGGCCTTGCCAAGCAGCCCCAGCCCTGGCTCTAGAGTGTGTCACGCCCCAGACCTCTGTCCACTGCTTCCCCTGAAGCTTCATAGCCCCCAGGGAGTCGTCTCTGCTCACCACCCTCCACTGTGCCAGCTGGCCGGATGCAGGCGTCTGCCCTGTGGGAAGCTGTGTGGCTCACTCAGCAGATCTTCCCTGAGCGCTTGCCCTGAGCCAGGAGCTGCCCTGGCTGATAGGACTAAATCAGTGACCCGCAGAGCGGGCATGCCCCCGTTCTCCCATGGTTCACAGCTGCAGGCATCTGCAAGACTCAGGCATGGGGATCCTGTGTCTTTCAGGAAGTTTCCGTCTGGTTCCCAGGCTGAATCGCTGTGGCCCTCTTTGCTCACATCCCCAAACCCACCTTGGTGGCCCAAGGAACACTTGTAGCCTCTTTTGCTATTCTGATTGGCCCCCCTGAGGGGCAGGCTTAGCCCTTCCTGAAGCCCCTCATCAGAAGTTAGTGAGAGGGGAGTCCCCAGGGCACCTCCTAGGCCCAGCAGGTCCTCCACTCTGGCTGCCCTAGGGTGGGGGAAGCACCCATCTGTGGCCCTGTCCCCTAGAGCCCTGAAGCGACCCAGTGCCTCCAGGGCAGGGCGCCAGGGCCGCCTGCTGGGAGCTCTGTGTCCACTGGAGGGTAGTTCATTAACGAATCATCACAGCTTCCATTTCACAGGCTTCCTGGCTGTGTGACACTTGATCTGGTCCATCTGATTAGGGAGTTCATGACCATCCCAGTTGATGAGTGTGGAAATAGCTCAGAGAAGGCTCCCTGTGGCGGCCCCTCCTCCCACGGGTGTTTGGGAGTAACTGCTGCTCCGCGTGGTCTTCCTGGAGATGCCACGGCCCTGCAGTGTGAAGGACGGATGTACGGGCTGGTGTTGGGGCACAGCTAAGCTTTCGCCTCCATACCGGCACCCCGTGGGAGTGCGGAGTGACACCCTGGCTGATCATCACAGTGAATCTGCTCCTCCTGTTTGCTTATTTGAAAGCAAAGGGTCTTCTGTCCACTGACTCCTTTCCCAAAGGGCTACGACAGCTAGGGCTGGGCTGGGCCAAACCCAGGAGCCCGAAGCTCCATGCAGGTCCCCGCGTGGGTAGTAGCGGAAGTCCAGGCCCCTGGCCCATCCTCTGCTGCTTTCCCAGATGCCTTAGCAAGGAGCTGGACAGGAAGCGGAGCAGCTGGGGACTCAAACCTGTGCTCTTGTGGGATGCCAGCATTGTATTCAGTTTCAGCTGCTGTGCCACAATACCCACCCTCTCCTTTTTTTTTTTTTAACAAAATCTGTGAAGCGCGCCTGCCTGTGATTCACTCCTTGGAGGTTCACAGCAGCAGTCGCTGGGCTGGAGCGGGGGCCAGAGCCAGAGCCAGAGCCAGGGCCGGGGCCGGAGCCAGAGCCGGGGCCAGGGCCAGGGGCCAGGGCCAGGGGCCAGAGCAGGGCCGGAGTCAGGGCCAGGGGCCAGAGCCAGGGCCAGAGCTAGGGCCAGAGCCAGAGCCGGGCCAGAGTCAGGGCTGGGGCCAGAGCCAGAGCCGGGCCAGAGTCAGGGCCGGGGCCGGGGCCAGGACCAGAGCTGGGGCCAGAGCCGGGGCCAGAGCCAGGACCAGAGCTGGGGCCAGAGCCGGGGCCAGAGTCGGGGCCGGAGCCAGAGCCCAGAGCCGGGGCTGGGGTCAGAGCCGGGGGTCGGAACTCGGTCTGGATTGCTTCTGCAGGTAGCAGGAACAGCCAGGGGCTGTCACCCCCTGCCTCCCAGGGAGTGCTTCATTGGGAGTGCTGGAAGCCAGGACAGCCAGGACCGGACGGGGGCTGAAGCCAGGAGCATCATCTGGGTCTCCCATGTGGGTAGCAGGGACCCAATTGCTTGGACCGTCATCTGCTGCTTTCCCAGGCGTATGATCAGGGAGTTGAATCAGAAGGGAAGCAGTTGGGACTTGAACCAGTACTTCCATGTGCGATGTTAGCATTGCAGGCGACGGCTTAACCCCCTGCTGCAGCACCAGCCCCTGCCCTGTTCTACTTTACTCTCATCTCTTTGTCTTGTTTTGTTTTTGTATTTTTAAAATTTTGATCGACTCTGGCTTTACAAAGATTTACATGATGGGCCCGGTGTGGTGGCCTCATGACTAAAGTCCTTGCCTTGAACGTGCCAGGATCTCATATGGGTGCCAGTTCTAATCCCAGCAGCCCCACTTCCCATCCAGCTCCCTGTTTGTGGCCTGAGAAAGCAGTGGAGGACGGCCCAAAGCCTTGGGACCCTGCACCCACGTGGGAGACCCTGAAGAGCTCCTGGCTGCTGGCTTCAGATTAGCGCAGCACTGGCCATTGTGGTCACTTGTGGAGTGAATCATTGGACAGAAGATATTTCTCTCTGTCTCTTCCTTGTTTTTATATATCTGACTTTGCAATAAAAATAAATACAATCTTTTTAAAAAAAAAGATTTACATGACAGTGCAGTTTGGAACATGAGCAGCCCTGACGTGTCCTCAGGGTTGTTACCATGCCGGTCCTCACGCCTCACCGAGTCCCTGGGGATTCTTGGTGTTTTATCTCTCCATGTTTATTTTTTTATTTTATTTATGTGCTTATTTATTTATTTTATTAGAAAGTCAGATTTACAAAAAGAAGACAGACAGGAAGATCTTCGGTCCACTGGTTCACTCCCCAGCGGCCACAAGGGCCAGAGCTGAGCCGATCTGAAGCCAGGAGCCAGGGGTCTGCTAGCAGGGAGCTGGATGGAAGTGGAGCAGCTGGGACAGGAACCAGCACCCATATGGCAGCCATGTGCTTGGGAAGGGTGTTTTATTTTATTTGAAAGGCAGAGGAGAGAGGGCAATTTTCTTTTTCTTTTTTTAAAGATGGTAGCCCCATGGCCCAGGCCACCATCCACTGCCAGCTGTGGCAGGCTTCCCACAAATCTGCCGCCCCGCCTGCTAGAGACGGTGAACAGAGAGAGTCCTTGTGTGTTCCCAGGTCGACCAGCAGTGTCCCCTCGCTAGGTTCACATGGCCGTAAGAGACGTAGCTCCTGGCACATTCTGAGTGTCGAGGTTTCCACACAAGGCAGGTGCACCCGTCCATTGTGGCTTAGGCCACCACAGGCCGGTCTAGAACATCGGGCTGGTCTAGAACATCAGAAAGGACCAGCCTGTCTGTTCCAGTGGGAGATGCTGGCCTTTGTAGATCCAGTCCCCAGGTCCCCACACAATTGTTTTAATTAAAGATTTATTTATTTGTATTGGAAAGGCAGATTTACAGAGAGGAGGAGAAACAGAGAAGATCTTCCATTGATTCACTCCCCAGGTGGCCGCATTAGCCAGAACTGAGACAATCCAAGCCAGGAGCCTCTTCTACGTCATATGGGATCCCGGTGCCTTAGCTCAGGTGCAGGATTAGCTAGCTATGCTATGGTGCCAACCCCTCACAAAGATTTTTTTTTTCTTTTTTGAGAATGCAAAGTGATCAAAGAGTTTTTAAACGTGGCTGCAGCAATGCTCTGACAAGCCAGGAGAGTGCCCTGGGCACAGGGAGCACGGGACACCATGTTACTGTGGACATGCCCTGAGGGAACAGGGGAGACCTCCAGGGTGAAGGTCTGGGCAAAGGCAGAGGAAGCTTTCGAGGTGAGATAGCCCGGGTAAGGGCCTGCGGTGGGAAACTGCTCCACGAATCTGAGAAACTTGAAAATGATCTGGATGGCTGGCGCAGGGGAGAGCAGGGGGTGGGGAGAGAGAAGAAGTGATACTGCACAGCCAAGGGCCGGGACCCGGGACCAGGAAGGACCTCGGAGTGCGGGGTCTCTGCGTGGAGAACTGCCGGCCGTGGGGCTGTGGGCGTCACTGTGCGTGCTCAGTGTGGTTCAAGTTCATGAGCCGCTGTGCCTACCTCAGCCACCATTGTCGGCAGGTGCAGGCTGACTTTTTTTTTAAGATTTATTTTTATTGGAAAGGCAGATCAGATTTACAAAGAGAAGGAGAGACAGAGAGAAAGATCTCCCATCCACTGATTCACTCCCCAAGTGGCTGCAATGGTCTGAACTGAGCCAATCCAAAGCCAGGAGCCAGGAGCTTCTTGTGGGTCTCCCACGCAGGTGCAGGGTCCCAAGGCTTTGGGCTGTTCTCCACTGCTTTCCCAGGCCGCAGGCAGTGAGCTGAATGGGAAGTGGAGCTGCCAGGACACGAACCAGTGCCCATATGGGATCCTGGTGCATTCAAGGGAAGGACTTTAGCCATGAGGCTACCATGCCGGGCCCACGTCCCCTGGTCCCCACAAAATGTACAGCTTCATTTCCTAGGGCTGTGCAGGATCCTTGCATCTATTCTGGGCATTGTAAATTTTGTAACCTTGCAGTCACAGGCTTTGTGGATCCTGTCGGGTGTGAGCCTGTTACTGCTGGCAGCGTTTCTCGTGCACCCTTGGAGCAGGAGTGGTGCTCCCCTCAGACCCACTCCAGGATACACTACCACAGCCACCTCCTGGCGAAGCTGGCACAGCCCTTAGCTCCACCTGCTGGGTGCTGAGCTGCAGCCACCAGACGTGCCCGGAAAGGATTGTTGACCGCACATGCACCTGGCACTGACTCCTGCCTTAGCTGCCCGTTCCTGCCTCCCAGCGACTCAGCTCTGCACTTGGGCAAATAAAGAAAGGAGTTGACCTTCCCCCTTGGAGGAGAGTGGGGCCGCAGTGCAAGGGGAAGTGGGCGGCTTGACCAGCCCCAAGCCCAGGCTGAAGGGGCACCAGGGGCAGATGAACTTTTCCAGCTGCTTTAAACTTGGCCGGGGAGGTCCTGGCCTCTGATGCAGTGATCCGTATCCCCAGCTGCTGGCCAGATGTTTAAGAGGTGTCCTCCAGTCACCTCAGGCTGGGTGACGCTGGGGCAGGTCTTGTTTAAAGTGTCATCACTTTGTCCCCCCATCCCCGCCCCCCCAGCCACAATCCTGGGTACCTCATACCCGTTGCAACAGTGAGGACTGGCAAGGATGGGCGAGGTGAAGCCTGGGCTCCAGGGTGCACCTGACGGCTCTCTCCCCCTGCAGTGTACCACTGGGTGGAGATGCGGACCAAGATGCGCATCATGGGCTTCCGGGGCACAACCATCAAGCCGCTGAACGAGGAAGCGGCCGCCGAGCTGGGCGCCGAGCTGCTGGGTGAAGCCACCATCTTCATCGTGGGCGGAGGCTGCCTGGTCCTGGAGTACTGGCGCCAGCAGTCGCAGCAGCATCGCAAGGAGGAAGAGCGGCGGGCCGCCTGGGATGCGCTGCGGGACGAGGTGGGCCACCTGGCGCTGGCGCTCGAGGCGCTGCAGGCGCAGGTGCAAGCGGCACCGCCGCAGGGCGCGCTGGACGAGCTGCGTGCCCAGGTGCAGGAGGTGCGCGCCCAGCTCTGCGCTTCCAACAACGCCGACCAGCGGCAAGCACACCAAGCCGAGAAGTCCCCGCCCCAAGCGCCATCGACGTCTAAGAACTAGGGGACTACTGAAGCTGAACTTGAACATGGCTGTGTGTGCCCTGCCTGGCCGTCTTCCCCACCAGACCCTGCCTGCGCTGGCCCAACAGAAACCATGGGGATTTTGAGGCTGCTTGGTACTTGGGTGCCACATGTCTTCTGTTATGCCGCCCCCACAGGTGAAGCTAGGCAGCTGTGGCTACCCCTCCAGCTCCGAGTCACTGGCACCACCTACAAGGCTCGCCTTCCCCCTCAGACCACAGGGACCTACTCCGTCCTGGCCTGCTGGACACCAAGAGACCTCTTCTGGCAAAAGAAAAAAAAAAGCTGGACTCACCACCCCAATCCCTGAAACCTGATGGGTGCTGCCTTCCCCTTGCCCTCCAAGACCCACCTGTGATTTGGGACACCCCTCTTTTGTCAGAGGGGGCAGTGATCACTCAAGTTCAGCCCCAGCTGAGCACCTGCTCTGGGAGGGGTCAGCAGAGGACCAAGGGGTATCTGTGAGCCCCGCCCACAGCTGCAGGCGTGACTGGGCAGGGCCTTCTTCACCAGTGTCTCCTGCCAAGGTGGGGATTTTGACCCTGGTCAGGGCCAAGCCAGTCTGTCCCCAGCCGTTCCTCCAGATCCCTGAGTGCAGTGTGTGCAGGAACCCGGCATCTTGGAATGCCACTGAGAACCACAGCGGCCTCCACACCCAGCCTAGCGCCTGTTAGAGTGAGGCGAGCGCCTGCGAGGGGGCCTGGGCTCGTACCAGGGGCTTCTGCCCAGGTTAGGGAAACTGAGGCCCCCCCAGGGAAGCTAAGGGCATGGCCACGACGTCCTGGCCACTCAGGCACTGGGTGCAGAGGATGGATGGACGGAAGCCTTGAGGTGGGGGTCAGCACAGCCCCAGACTGCATGGAGACCGACCGTGGCATTGAGTAAACAGGCGCATGCCTCCTACCTGGGCCGGTTTCCACAAAGCTGTAGGGGCAATGTGTGGGGGCTCAGAGCTAAGGCCAGTGGGATGCCAGGACCTGCTCCAGTAGAGGTGGGGCACCAGGCTCAGAAACAGCCTCTTCACCCTTGCTGGAAGGGATGGAGAGGCTGGGAGTGGTCTGAGGGAGGAAGTGAGGGGAAGAGCCCAGCACAGGAAGGGGCTGGGTGGAGCCAGAGGAGTGGCCTCAGTGCCTGGTTTCCATGGTTACTACATCCCATCCCTAGCTAGCAGTCACTGTTCTAAACTGATAGAGTCCCTGAGCGCTGGTGAGCTGCTGGATGCTGGCCGCCGTCCCAGGTGCCTTACACTGGTGAGGAGTCGGGGAGGGACAGTCATCTGCTCTGGGTCACACCAGTGGGATGGAGGATGGGAAGTCTGGGCCACAGACACCCCCCACCCACGCACACCCCGTCGCGGCTCTGGTTTCCTGCCAGCTAAACTCGGGTGGCTTTGTGGTCTGGTGTGGGGCGGGCCGGGGCAGGGCTAGAATAAACTTATGACTGAAGGTAGTGTCTTCAAACTCATGAGTCTTTTTTTTTTTCCTTCTTTTTTCTAAATGTTCTTTAAACAGTCCCCACCCACCTTGGAGAAAACGTGTTTCCTGTATTGTTTGATTCAAAAGCGAGAGGGCCCCCCCCAACCCACATCATGGCATCCTCTCTGTTCTGTGCCAGTGGTCCCAGCAGCCACCCATCCTGCCCCAACAGTGGGTCTCACAGGGTGCTGGGTGACACACACAGACATGGCCTCAGCAGTGTGGCCTGCCCCATCCCTGGTCCTGTCGGCAGAGAATGGTCGGGCCTTATCAGACCCCTCCGTTCCCCTCCCGGGTGTCTTCCACGGGTCCCAGCTCTCCAGTCTTGCCTGGCCATGTCTCCCCCTCAGCATTTTCCCTGCTGGTCATAGTCCCCCCTCCCAGGGGGACACACAGGCTGTTTCTGTGCCAGCCACTGTGACACTGAGTGGCCAGGCACAGGTTGCTCAGTGCCAATGGCTCCCAACAGCACCAGACACAGAAGCAGGGGTGGGGCATATCCCACACCTGTGCACCTGGCCTCATCCTCAGGTCAAAGAGTCAGCCAGGAGCTGGACAAGCACCTGTTCACCCACTGTGATTGAGGTGGTGGGAGGGGGCAAGACCCGTGTCGGCCAGGGGTGGAGGTGGCCAGGCCAAGCAGCGAGTGAGGGCAGGAGCGGCTGCCTTAGCTCAAGGGCAGAATGGACTGTGAGTGGTCGGTGCCCGCATTGGCCACAGGCCTGTCCTGGGACAGCGGCGGATCTGTCCCCACGGAGCTGTCCCCACCACGCTGTGTCTTTCTGTATCGTGTCACATCACAGCCCTGCCCGTTACTCTGACCACTTCTGCCTCCGGTCACAAACTTCAGTCCGAGATGGTTCCTCTCTGGCTCTTTCTAGAAAAACCCTCATTCCTCCCTGCGACAGAATGTGTACAGGGCATGGAGTGGCATGTCTCTGGAGGGTCCCACAGGCTTCCGAGCCCTCTCCTGCACCCCCACCCCACCCCAACAGGCTTGTCTCTGCCCGGCCGGGCTTCCCTCACTCCAATGGAGCTGTCCCCTGTGGCGTCGCCATCCGCAGCGAGAAGCAGCGAGAACAGTCCACGTAAGCCTGTGTGCGTGTTCCCGCTGCGGCTTTCGGCTCCATGTGTGCATGTACGCTGCTGCTCGTGTTGCATGCCTCGTGCAGGAAAACCACAACACGCCGCGCATGTGCTACTACTGGCATGAAAGCTTTGCTCCGTTATCACTCTGTGTGCAGTGTTAACATTGCTGCTGTAGGTACGCATGCGTTCTCGGCCCGTGTGTATGTATGTCCTGTAATTAGGGGATCCTGTGCCGGCAGTGCCCGTTACCTGTCACAGGCCCCCCCGTGCCGCTGTGTGCAGGACCCTACACTGCTGTCTGTTTCATTCGCTTTCTCCACGAGAAGCGCATCCGTGGGGATGCAGCAGCTAAACTCGCGCAGGCTGCCGTGGGCTGAGGGGAGAGCCCTGTGAGCAGAGGGGGGGCTGGACCTGCTGGGACGCGCCTGTAGGTGGCCATTTGAGGGGGGAACGGGGAGTGGTGCCTTTGTTGGGGGGACTGTGTGTCCAGGGAGGAGGCATTGGAGCATGGCAGCAAAGTGGAGAGCAGGGGGAAGCAGGCTTGCTGCTTCTAGGGGTTGACCAGGCTGAGCCATGCAGCAGGAGAGGGGACTTTTCTGCCCTTGCTGACCTGCAGGGTTTTGGTGTGCACCTGGAAGGGAGATGGCCCTGCATCTTTAGGTGGGGGTGCCCCTCAGAAGTGCCTGGGAGGAGGCCCCAATGACTCCTGCTTCCCACCCTGGACGCCCAGACTCTGCCAACTCCTGGTAGATGGTGCTTGTTCTGAGTTGTGGCCAGTGAGGACGGGAGTCGGGGTATAGCTGTGAGCCCACCCCAGCCCCTGCATGCCACATCATTGGCTGTTCCTCTTGCTGACTAATTGGCAAGACACGCTCTGAGCTCTATGTGGGGACATCCCAGCCAGCCAGAAGGTGCCAACCGACCGGTCGTTCTGGTCCCGGCCAGGGGTCCTTCCCCTGACAGGGCAGTGTCCCAGGCAGGCTCCCCAGGATGTACTGTCCCCTGGCAGGAGCTGGTTGTGGACCAGAAGGGTCCCAGCAGACTCCATCACAGCCAAGATGCTGGCCTCACTTGTGCAAGGGAGAGGGGGAATCCCATGCCTCAATATACTTAGCTTTGCTTATTTTTATTTTTTCATTAATTTATTTTTGTTGGAAAGGCAGGTCTACAGAGAGAAGGGGAAAGATACAGAGAGAAAGATCTTCCTTCTGCTGGTTCACTCCCCAAGTGGCTGCAATAGCCAGAGCTAAGCCATTCTGAAGCCAGGAGCCAGGAGCTTCTTCAGAGTCTCCCACATGGGTACAGGATCTCAAGGCTTTGGGCCGTCCTCCTCTGCTCTCCCAGGCCACAAGCAGGGAGCCTGATGGGAAGTGGATCAGCCGGGACATGAAGTGGTGCCTGTATGGGATCCCAGCGCTTGCGAGGGGACAATTAGTCAGTTGAGCCATTGCCTGATATACTTTTGTCCAAACTGCTCAGGCTGTTGGTCCAAGCCTAGTCATGCCATAGGAGCCAGGACACCCTTGCTCGCCACCCACAAACATCCTGTCTGCAGTTCACAACAGGGATGAGGTTTGTAGACCCCAAGCAGGAGTGGACTGGACCACATGGACTCCACTGAATCACCCCAATGTGGCCGTGGACGCCGTCACCCTCCTGTTTGCAGTTGGCGGGCATACACCTGCCTCCCAGTGGCCAGCACTTCGCCTGGGAGACACCCAGAACTGAGGGTCGGAATACCGGAAATGTGTTCCTGCATTCCCTGTGATGTGCAGGGGGTCCAGAGCAGTACCTGCACAGGCCGCTGTGGGCGCAAGAGACCGGATGCAGCCAAAGGCCTGGGGTTAGCCTTGCTGACCAGTGAGCATCACCCAGGATGGCGGGCGCTTTGCCCACACACTTGTGCATATACACGTGTGGACACACATACATGCACAGACACATGCAGATACAGTGTGTGCACATGTGTGCACGCGTGTGCATATCTGCACATGTGCATCTGTTGGTCTGCTGGACTGTGCTCTCCATTGCCCTGTGTATAAGCGACATGAGAAAGCTGGTTGAAGGGCCAGGGCAGCAGCGCAGGTTAAGCCACTGCTTCAGCACCAGCATCCTATTTCAGAGTCCTGGCCGCTTCCCGTCCAGCTCCCTGCCAGCACCCTCGGGGAGGCCGAGGAAGATGGGCCGAGAACAAAGTCAGGCCTGCTACGCTGGGCAGAGAAACAGCAAGCGGAAGACCTCCATCAGCAAATTATGTATGTATGTATTTTTATTACAAAGCCAGATATACAGAGAGGAGAGGAGAGACAGAGAGGAAAATCTTCCGTTTGTTGATTTACTCCCCAAGCAGCCACAAGAACTGGAGCTGAGCTGATCCAAAGCCAGGAGCCAGGAGCTTCACTTGTGTCTCCCACGTGGATGCAGGTCCCAAGGCTTTGGGCCGTCCTCCACTGCTTTCCCAGGCCACAAGCAGGGAGCTGGATGAGAAGTGGGACTGCTGGGATTAGAATCAGCACCCATATGAGATCCTGGCACATTCAAGGTGAGGACTTTAGCCACTAGGCTACCATGCCAAGCCCATAAATAATTTTTTTTAAGTTGGTGGAGGGGTAAGCATTCAGCTCAATGACTTTTTTTGTTCAAGATGTCTTTAAAAATTTATTTATTTTTATTGGAAAAGCAGATCAGGTCAACAGAAAGAAGGAGAGACAGAAAAAAGATCCTCCATCCGCTTCCACGACCTAAATGGTTGCAATGGCCGCAGCTAGACTGATCTGAAGCACAGAAGCCTCTTCCGTGTCTCCCATGTGGGTGCAGGGTCCCAAGGCTTTGGGCTGACCTCAACAGCTTTTCCAGGCCACAGGAAGAGAGCTGGATGGGAAGTAGAGCAGCTAGACTCGAACCAGTGCCCATCAAGGAACCTGGCACCTGCAAGGTGAGAATTAAGCCATTGAGCCATTGTACCAGGCCTTCAGCTCAGTGACGGAGATCCAGTCCCTCTGGCTGCTTCCTGTCCAGGCTGCACTTATTTCCAGCTGACGGGCACCCAGGGAACAGCAGGCGAGCACGCAGGGACAGGGGCGGCCTTGGTAGAGCTTGGCCGGGTTCGGTCCTGATCTCCGCGGTCATTTGGAGATTGGACCAGTGAGTGTAGGTCATCCTTCTCGTTTGCTTCTGCCTTTCAAGAGGGTGAGAATTAAAAAAAAAAAAGCATTACAAAAGAAAAAATACAAAAAGAAAAAATAATACAGCCCGCCATGTACCCTCTTGCCATCGTCGAGGCTGGAATCCGGCATTGGTGGAGCCTGGTTTTGAATGCCGCCTGCCATCCCTGCTAAGGGCCCAGGCCAGGTCCTTCCGGCCCCCATCAGCTTCTAGGGGATGCAGGTGTGCCTGGCTTATGGCTGTATCATCCCTGTTCCTGGCTCCACCTGCCCATGTCTTCTCTTTCATTTCTTTTAAAAGACTATAATTGATTTGAATGATCTTCCATCCTTGGTTCACTTCCTAAATGGCCACAACGGCCTGAGCTGGACAAGGCTGCAGCCAGGAGCTGCTGAATCTCACCACAGGGGTGCAGGGTCCCCAGGACTGGGACCATCTTCCACTGCCTTCCCAGGAGCGCCAGCATGTGGCTGGATCGGAAGTGGAGTGCCTGGGGCTCTAACTCTTGCTCTGCTTGGAGATCATGGCCTCACAGGAGACGGCTTGACCTGTTGCACCACAGCATCAGGCACGGCTCGTCTTACGTAAAGGCCGTTTGTTCATGAAATTGGGGCCTCTGGGGGTGATCCAGGGTGGTCTTTGAGATCTCGCCTTTCACTGCTTCATTCCCCAAGGGGCCACAATGACCACAACAGCTGGAGCTGAGCTGAAGCCAGGAGCCAGGAGCTTCT